TTGGCAACAACCCAACTGATGATTTGCAGAGACATAATACATGCACAAAATAAGTAAAAGAAGGCCACCAAGCTTTTTGGTACTGGTAACCTTAAAGAAGGTCTCCTTATATTTAGTCTAATAATGTTTTGTCTTGAGGGATTAATACAGGAGTAGGATGGAGGACAGACTTTACCTCCCATTTTAGACTCAGAGGGGGGTATAAAATGCACTATGATTTTGTTTTACTGTGGAACGACTTGATACGTTGCATGAACATGAGGGTTGTTCTCACTTCATTAAGTTTTTCCCTTAAATACATTTTCTATTTCTTACTCACTTGGATAGACTTTTGCTTTAAAATAGAATTTCCACAAGTCTAAAGGCAGTTTAAAGTTAAACAAATTCTTTTCTCCTCTCAACAATAGTGCTCTACTCATGACCAGCCTTTGAGACGGTCCTACCTATACAGAAGGCACTTTTTATTTGTGCTCCCATTATTGTAGAATGTGCTGCCAAATTGGGAACAAGAGTCTCCCCCTTATTTCCCCCTTGTTGATCTAATAAAGGATCATTGTTAATCCTTTATGAAAATATAATTTGTGTGGAAGTGTAACTTGTAAACTGATAATACATTCCTTAATTAATATCATCAGGATATTAAGATCATTATTTATCTAAATAAGAGTTGCAAATTTAAATCAGTGGCAATTTCTGTTGCTCACTAGCACCTTCACATGGGCAAAAGTGGATTACAAATTACTATGGATTAACTCAAGTCCCTTTGCTTCCCTATTTATAGATGTTTAAAGAGTAAAATATATATGTAAGCACTAGTTATGTTCAATAAAGAATAATCCAAATAGATTCATTTGGATGCCTGAGAGAACGGAATTAACATTAATTCTTCGTCACTGCACTGCATCTTCATTATCTTAACTTTATCCCCCTTATGAACAAACTGAATTGAAATTTTCATAATCTTAGATTGTTTTAAAATGCACCTGCCTTAATTTAACTTCAATCTTTGTATGCTTTGAAGTGGCCTCTGGAGCTGTTTTTCATGGATTCCATTTCATCATCTTGGTTGGGTTTTGAACCACCTTACTAACTACCACATCTTCACTCCCAGGTAAAAGGAGCTCTGTCCTAACTTTAGTACATTTAAACATCTCTACCAGACTAGACACTGGGAGTTGGAGTATACCATTCCAATACAATGCTATAATACTTAAACATATGGAAACAACTAGCCAGCTCTTAATACAAAAGCTATTGAATGTTTTTCATTTTCTCTGCAGCAGATAATGCAATCTCATATGTACATCATGTGGCCGCATCAACCTAGGAAACATTTCAAACTTCAGACACCACAGCTTCAATTTTCCAGGAAGCCCTGATATATCTATTCTCCAGTACTCTCTTCATTCATGGTTCCTTTTGTAGTCACCAACATCATATCATCTATGTAGACACTGGCTGGTGTAAGACACATCCCATCCTGCTATCTCTGCACCTAAAACCCACTTTGAAGATCTAATAACTATCTCCATCCCCATTGCTATGCTATTGGTGAACTCGTCCATATTGCATTTAGCCTATTTCTAGCCTTCCTGCCTTCGGCCCAGTAGTATCTATTAAACTTTTCCTCGCCACGTAACTAGCTAATCTCTGTGCACTACACTCAAGATAATCTCCCCCCTCACCATTTATGAGAAAGATCATCCAGAACTCAGGTGTGACGAGTCCTTCTCATTTGGAATAAGGACATTTCCTGCTCTACACCTGTCAGGTTAGGGAACTCGAGGCAGGATACAGAGGGGCGGTATAAAAGTGTTTTATTGAACAAAAAACGCACTCAAAAGGAGTGGAAACAAGGTACCAAATAAGGTTAACAAGACTATGAACAAATGATCAAAATACAATCACTCGAATGAGGCAGACAAAGCTGTGAACAAAGTATCAAATAAGGTAAACAAGACTATGAACAAAGTATTAAATCAAAATCTCTGGTGACCAAGGCAAAAACAAGACTGTGAACAAAGTACAAAATCAAAACTCTCTTCCGAGGCATAAACGGAGTGGCAATGCAAGGCTAGGTTCGATGGCAAGGTATAGCTCAGTAAAGTCATATGACGGAGACAAATGACGAACGACGAAATTCACTGGCACAAGAAAAGGGGAAATGGGGACTATTTAAACACATGAGGGAAGGGAACCCCAGGTGTACACAATAGGTGATCAAGGAAGACACGCATACATGTGACACACAGGGGAGTGCCAGTGGCCTGACACAAGGGGATGAACCTTTCAAAATAAACCAGGAAGGGACAAGACAACATTGAGACAGGACAAAAATTTTAAAAAATCCCCCAGTTGGACAGAGCCCCCCCCCCCTCAAGGGACGGCTCCCAGACGGCCCTAACGGCACAAAAGACAGACCAAGGGTGGGTGGAGAGGGTCAGGAAAAGACTGGGGAATTTTAAAACTTGTTGTAACCAGGTGGTTACAGCAGGACTCACTATGAAACTTGAAATCCAGGATTTACTTGTTGCTAAATGTGGGAAAATGGATCTTCCTCTTCTTACTGAAGTTGAGATATCCTCAAAAAAGGGGCTTTTCATCACTGTTTGGCCGTCAAAGACAGGACTACAGGTCGCTGGTTTATCAATGCAAGCTGTAGAATAGCTAAGGATAAAACACCATCTGATATGTTTGTGCTTGAGTGTTATAACACTGACTGTGGAGTGTTCAGGACCATTCCATTTGCTGCATGGCGTGACAAGATGGATGAAATAGCAAGTCTGGGTTTCAACACTGTCAGCTGTCAGCACTGGGGTGATTCAATTAAATTAAATTCAATTTAATTTATATAGCACCACATCACAACAGCAGTTATCTCACAGTGCTTTCCAAACAGAGCAGGTCAGACCCTACTCTGAAGTTAATTACAGAAACCCAACAATTCCCACCATGAGGCTTGCTCATGGTGGGAATTGTTGGGTTTCTGGCGACACAGGCAAGGAAAAACTTCCTTTTAACAGGCAGAAACCTTGCCTAAGGCAGGTAGGCAGGTTTGATAGGAAAAGGGATAGTTGTTCAGTACTTTGGCATCAAGACTGCCAATCTTTAGAAGAGGCCTAGTGACTAGTTGTTAAGGCTTTTGGAAATGAGTCCAATTAGTAACATCGCTAATGGAATGAGGTTGCACTTGGAGGGAGAGAGAGAAAGGAGAGTATGAGGAGTATGAGGAAAGTGGAGTATGATATTATATATGACATTACACTTATCAGCTCTTTATTGATGAGGCTTTAATGCAGTGGCGGACCGTGCATTTCACACCTAGGCCTTCACTAGTGCTCCGTTTGAATCAATTAACCCCTCAATAACTATTTTATGGTTATAAAAATCATCTTATTATGTAGAAATACAGTAGGGATGTCCCGATCAAGCTTTTTGTATTAAAGTGGAAATTTATTTATCTTCTTACTTAGTTGTCAGACTCATGTTAAACTGGGATTTACTCTTATAACAACTAAAGTTTACACGGACCTGTGGGTTAGGAGATGCTAATGCTAATGCTCATGTGGGATCGGACTTTAAAAAAAAAGAAAAGATCTGGAGTCTGGATCGGCATTTTCTCGTGCCGGCCGATACGATCCAAATATCGGATCGGGACCAGCCTAAAATACAGTCTAAAGATCAGGGGTGCACAAGTCTTCTACTCCTGCAGCTACAGCTGCAACACCCCCCCCCCCCCAAAAAAAAAAAAAAAAAAAAAAGAAAGGATTGTGAAGGCCTCCTGGCAGACATCTTTGACTCTGACACTGCCTAGCGACAAAGGATGTCTGAAATGTGATTGGTTAAATGCTTTTATATGAAAATGCATGTCTGGAAGCAGCGCAACCAGGGGAAAAGCTATGAAAGGAAGCGGACAGACTATTTAGAGATATTTAATAAGTTTCCATGGACAAAATATGATTAACATCAGTCTGTGATTCAGATATTTTCTTAGGCCTGTAGAAAAGGCCTTGAAGGCCCTGACGGCCCATCACTGCTTTAATGGTAGTCCAGCAGCAGTAAAGCCAAGTAAAAGGTAGAAGCTGGCACGTTATTAAAGAACACTAAAAGTAAAACTAGACTGGAAACCTTTACTGTTGGTCATCCAACAGCTCTGGGGCGCAACATTATCGCATGCTTGTGCGGATGAACCTGGGGTTTTGATAGCCTATTAGCATTTCTTTGGAGTAATGCAAATTCAGTGGTCCAGATGTGAATTTTGACCTCACTAGGAAATGTTGAATGACTAAAGAAGTATTCTAATTCAACCCCAAAGGTTAATTCCCTTATTAGTGTTGCAAATTAACTATTTTCAGCCTCACTGCCAAAACTATGTAAATTGTGTTTATATCTCTTGAAAGGCAATTTAAGGTTTTCATGGACATCCCAAGCTTCCTTTTATAGAATACTAGATGCTATTTCAATCTGGAATGTTGAAGATTACTTTTAACAATGTAAGAAATTATCAAATTTCTGTGAGGCCACATTGCCATCTAATGTCCAGTAGTAGCATGTAGTTAAAACCGAAGACCTGCATTTATGAGACTTGTACATAAAATAACTCAAAAGGGACACAAATATTTCTCTGAACTACATTGTTTAAAACAGAGGGACAAATGTAGTTCAGCTCATGTGCTTTCTTTCTAAACACTTCAGGAATGGATTTTTAGAATTAACTCAAGATTGGTTTTGTTGCCTTTGTTTTCTATAACTTTCCTGAGGTGACAATCTTTCAATTCTCTCTTTTTTTTGTAAGTTTTGACACCCAAGCATTTTGTTCGGAAGAAGCTCATGGAAAAAGAGGACTACAACTCGCCATACACTGTGAAGGACCCCAGACACTGAGGCCCAGAAACAGCAGACCTGAGAGTAAACCTAACCACATAGCAACTTACTATAAGTGGTTAAAAAATATACTTTTTTAATGTTGTTGGATTTTTTATGCAAAAGGAAAACATACAGGCATCACAGCTATGATTATTACTGACATTTAGTTTTTATTGATCTTTCAAAAAGTACAGCACAAATATATTAAACACACTGTTACAATGTATAGGAGTACTTTACTGAATAACACAGAATGCTAGAGCAGTGACAATGAAAATATCGTGCAGATCAAGGCTTTATAGGGTTCAAAGCAGAATATACAGCATCATACACTTAATTAATCTAACTCATCTGCATCTATATTACTGTGAGATAGACCCTTACACTACAAATAGCTAAATTATCATTGCCACCCAAAGTGTTTTTTTAATGTTTTTTTTAGAAGAGTGAAAACCTGACCATAGTAAAGAAAAGCATACTTCAAGCAGATGGAACTCGCATTGACATTCTCTGAAGTAAACACCTGTTTAAAACTGACTGAGAGCTTTGAAATCTACTTCAAAGGAATAAAAGCATTTAATACCATTCAAACACAATCAACAATGCCATGAAAATCATGTAATTAGAGGTTACAATGTTAGGTTTTGTGATGAGAACATTTTCTACAACACTATAAATGATTGAAGGATAGCTAAATCCATTTTTTTTATTAATGAAAAATTGTGTAAAACATTTTTAAGATGTGGACTTTTATAATTTATCAAGTTATCGAGTGGGAGCTTAACATGTGACTGAGAGCTGAGATAATAATCAACCACTGCTTTATACACTATACAGTCGATTGACTTATGAGGGGCCCTCGATTAAAAGATTTTTGTGTTCTGTAGACTGCTAAAGTTCACAAGACACACCGAAGGAAGAAAACACAATAAAACACGATATACAAACATGCTTTTACTCCCCTAACTAGGAGGAGGTTTTACATTTATAACTGATTCAGTCGTAAACATTCTTTGGTCTCACACCTAAGTGGAAGAATGATTCAAAACTGATTTAACATTACATCCTTTTAAAGTAAAAAACTTGGTTCTTTGAACTATATGACTTTGAACATCATAGCAATTGTATTCTAAATTATATGTTTCGCCCTGCGATGGACTGGCGGACCATCCAGGGTGTAACCTGCCTCTCGCCCATTGACCATTGGGATAGGCTCCAGCCCCCCCGCGACCTCATTAGGAAATAAGCTGTTACTATAATGGATGGATGGATGTTATTATTTCAAATTGTAGATTTGTTAAGTGTTTAATTATCAGACCATAATTTTTCTAAAAAAAATAAAAGAATATATGACTGAAGCCAACAGTAAGAAACTTACCATGACAAGCTGTGTAATTGGAGCATTGACTGAGTGGTCAATGCAAACATAATTAGCCTTTTAAACACCAGTAGTTCTCTACTACTGGTGTTTAATGCCCACAACTTGTTAAGCACTTAAGCAATTGTATATTAATTATATAGACATTTCCTATATTTTAAATTCCAAAGCTTTAAAATGCAACACACAAATTATGTTTCAGTTATTAAATGATTATCATTCCAGCTCCCAGGTGAAAAAAAACAAAACTTCTTAGGCAGTAGTAATAATAATGCAAGTAGTGAAAAGAATGTAAATGTTTGCTTTGGCTGACATAAGAGTGGACACAGTGTCACATTCAGTGAATAAAATTAAATCAAACAATCATGAGTGTGAGCAGGTAAAGAACATTCATAACATAATCTCTGCCTGGGTTAAAAAAAAAACCAAAGGCAGTAACAAAAGAAAATATGTAAATCAAATGTAAAATGTAAAAAACTTGTGTGCCTTTTAAAGTGATAAAACCCATCATTATTTTTAGGATACAAACTTTCTGCAACAATAACATTACTATTACTAAACTGTAATATGAGTTTACTATAAACTAATGCAGTGATTGTTGAACTACTCCATATTCTATATTTTGGCAGGGAGAGGTTTCAAGTGTTCCTATCAGGTTGACACAAAGTACATTACAATCTAATTCAGTTTGCTGATGCAGTCAAAGACAAAAGGTGAAGTGACCCTCATAAATTTGGTTGAAGCAGTGCCAGCATGTTTTCTTCTTACAACCAATAAATTTAGATTGATGTTTTATGTATTAATTTGAATACAAAAATTAAGATAATTGTATGCAGCAGATCAACTAACTATCACATATGCTGTATCTCTGATAAACACAAATAGATGTTTCTGGCTGTGAAAGTAAACTTTCTCGGCTATCAAAATAAGCAAATTTTCAAAAACTGAGGTGTAGTGGCTGATACAATCGTGCTACAATCGCTATGGTCATCTCTGATGCTGGTGCTCTAATGCTTTCTGATGGGTGTATAGGCAGTGTGTGTAAGTATGTTCACTTCCTATGTTAATAAGTTTACACTATCACATTGTGAGGACTTGACATACCTCCAGCCAAAAGAAAAGATCTTATGACAAAGTTGGTTTGTTTAAGTCTAGGGTTTCAGGCTCAGGTTTAATTTTCTGTGACTATGTGCACAGTGAGCTGTTGGCAGTGGTACGACATGATATAAGCTGGGAAAAGTTGGAGAGGAGCAGAGAAGGAAAAGTCTCCTCTGTTGTGTATAATAAAAAGTAATACTTTCTGATTTTGTTTTCACCCAGTGACAACCTCTGTGGAGGTATGATAGGATCAGTGATGAGTTTAGAGGTTGACCAAATGAAGGTCAGAGGCGGAGAAGTGGGGGCACAAAGTATTGTCTGGGTTCTTCAGCTGTCGCAGGATCCTCCGGTGAAATTTGGAACGTACCCGGTTGAACTCCATGATGTCACTGGGATCTTCCTCGATCCAGAAACGGTGGAAGTCTTGCATCAGGTAACCTGACAAAAAGAAAGAGAAAAAAGAGGGTATTACTTAGATGCATCAACCAGTCTGCTGGCTTCCTCTTGCTCTCTTATTCAGCTATTGACCATACTTAGACGAAGGACAATTGTATATCTTAACATTTTGGACAAGAAAAACATGATTTGACATTAAGTTGGTACATATTTTATTTCAAAAGAGGTACCAACTGGTAATATATATCAGATAATGTTGGAAAACACACAGAAGGTTTGATGGAAGTGTAGCAGGTTTGGCATCTCTGGGGCCACGTTGTACATGTGGGTCTTCAAAGCTCCGCTCACCAACAGAGAATGGGCCAAGTCTGTGATGTTGATGCCCACAATGGCAAAAGAATAGCTGAAAAGGAGAGATAAAAATGTCCATGTTTTGGATTGAAATAATTTATTCACACCCAACTGCTTCCGTCATTACTAATCAGAATATCTCCTGTCCCTTTGCTATTCATCGCGGTACACGTCAGGGCTGCCCCCTCTCCCCATTTCTCTTCGCAATCATTATTGAACCTCTGGCCGCCAGCATTAGGCAAAACCCCTTAATATCCCCTATTGAGATGTTTAATTGTAAACATCATATTTCGCTGTATGCTGATTATATACTTTTATATGTCTCTAACCCACGGAAATCGCTGTCTCCTCTTTTGACGATGATCAACAGTTTTGGCAGTTTCTCAGGTTTTTCTATTAATTGGGACAAAAGTGAACTGATGCCGCTTACCACAGATGCTGATTTGGTATATTTGACGTCCACATCGTTTAAGATGACTTATGCTTATGACTCCTTTACATATTTGGGCGTGTTGGTAACAAAAAAAACAGAACATCTTTTACGGCTGAACTGGCAGAGTAAAATTCTTCAACTCAAGCAAAATATTGATTTCTGGAAGACGCTCCCACTATCCATGGCCGGTAGGATCAACGCCATTAAAATGGTGGTGTTACCGCGATTCCTTCATTTATTTCAATCTGTCCCATGTTTTATAGGTGTATCCTACTTCAGACAATTAGATTCTATTATTATTCCCTTTATTTGGGGCTAGAAAAGAGTCAGAATTTCCCAAAAAACACCTATGTAAACCAGGAAGGGAGGGTGGGTTCTCCTTACCAGATTTCAAGCAATATTACTGGGCTTGCCATTTATACATCCTGGCGTGGTGGAGGAAGGGCCCACTCCCGTCTGATGTGACCTGTCCTGCCTGGTTATCTTTAGAGCGTCTGCATTGTTGTAACTCGTCTCTACCTGCCCTCCTTAACAGCCCCATTAAAGTCAGTAAAACACTCTATACCAATAGTTTTGTCATTGGCCATACTATCAGAATCTGGAATCATATACAAAAATGTATAAAACCTCCGGAGGTTTATTTTGACACTCCTATCTGTGAAAATCACTCCTTTGCACCAGGTCTCAGTGACGCCATCTTTCGGTTGTGGAGAATGAAAGGCATCAGTGTGATAGGTGATCTATATATTAATGGAACTTTTGCATCTTATGTTCTAAGTATAATCTTCCCCCGTCGAGTTTTTTTCGTTATGTGCAGGTTCGGGACTATGTTAAGAAAAATTTATTGGATTTTGGAACTTTAACAAAACATAAAACCCTAGAGGAAATAAATAAATTTGATCCTGTCAGTCGGGGGGCAGTGTCTCACTTTTATATATTATTATTATATATTTAATAATATATGTGTAGACACAACCAGGGTTAAAAAGGCATGGGAGGTTGAGTTGGGGCAACATTTATCTGAAGATCTATGGGAGGAGGGTTTGAAAAGTATTCAAGAATGTTCAGTCAATGCCAGACACAATCTCATACAGTTCAAAACTATTCATAGGCTCCATTATTCGAGGGAAAAGCTGAGCACTTTCTTTCCTAGTGTGTCTCCAATCTGTAATCGTTGTCGTGTTGCTATTGGTAACTTGACTCACTCCTTCTGGTCATGTGTTCAGCTTCACTCATTCTGGAAGAAAATTTTTAATTTTTTTTCAACAGCCTTTGGAAAAAAATGGGATCCAGAACCTCTTATTGCCATCATCGGGGTCTCTAGTGCTTTGCAACCAGCCACTAAAAGTGAGAAAAGGGCTGTTTTGTTTGGTACGGTGATTGCTAAAAGATTGATTTGGAGATTTTGGAAAAAGGACTATGTGCCCACATTTGATTTATGGTTGGGAGAACTAGCAAATACATTTGGGAAGACTGAGATACTATAACGAAGATAAGGTCAATGTGTTTAAGGAAATATGGGATCCTGTACTTAAATTCCTTCCATGAAAAAGTGTTTATGACAAACCCGTTACCGTTTAATACCCTGTATAATTGTCCTTTTTATTTTCTTTTTTTTCGTGCTTGTGGAATGGAATGCTTGTGGATCAATTTGTGGTGTTTTCATCATGTTGTCTTAACTGTGTAAGTGTTATATGATGTGCCGTTCTGTACGGGTAAGGGAAGGGTGGGGATTTGATCTTTTATGTTAATTTTTGTATATCCATCCATCCATCCATTATCAATACCGCTTATTCCCTGATGGGGTCGCGGGGGGAACTGGAGCCTATCCCAGTGGTCAACGGGCGAGAGGCAGGGTACACCCTGGACAGTCCGCCAGTCCATCGCAGGGATTTTTGTATATCCATTTGGAAAATGTAATAAAAAAAACAAATAAAAAAAATGTCCATGTCTTTTTAGATTGTTTGTTTTTTGTAAGTTTGTTTATGGGGGGGGGGGGGGGGCATTTGGCTTTCATTGATCACCATTGTACATACGTATCTACTGTCATAGGCAATAGCAACATGTTCCTCCACAGCCATGACAGCATGTAATGAAACATCAGACACTTACCCAATGGCTTTGTCACGGTTTTTCTGCTCCCAGTCAGGAACTTCACTGTGAAGAACATGCATTAGTCATTGTCAATCAAACTATCTATCTATCTATCTATCTATCTATCTATCTATCTATCTATCTA